GGGAGGGGGTTGGAGGGGGGGTGGGGGATTAGGAGCTGCCGTGAGCCTAAAGGGGGGGGTCTGGACACCACCTCTAACTCCTCTCCCCCCCTCCTCCCCACCCTGAGAGAGAAGAAACTGCTGCAACAATAGAGTCTCCCGCTCCTCAGTCACGCAATCGCCATGGAAACAGACATGAGCACAGCGTGATTCATGACCGCCACAAGCAATGTGAGGCGGTTGCTGTGGTTACCGTTTCCTTCCCGCCCCCCGGTCCATCTCTTACTGTAACCAGACCAGGGTTAGAGGAGGACACGCTGATTCACCCACTAATTCATTCATTCATTCATTCACGCAGCTATCCGTCCATTCGGTCGCGCTCTCGTCCATTCACTCAATTATTCACTCGTTCACCCACTCGTGTATCCGCTCACTCACTCACTCGCTCATTCATTCAATTAATTATTCATTCGTTCACTAATTTACTATTGGACAACCTACTCACGGACTTATTTATTCATTTACTCACTTGCTCACTCCTTTTTTCACTCACTCTCTCACTGACTCTGTCATTGGCCTGTTCATTCACTCATTTGTGTATTTGTTGACTTACCCACTTCTTAGAAGAATAAAGCAGTGAATTCATTCATGATTCACTGACTCATTCACTAACCTTACTAATTTATTTGATTGTTGACTCAATTCATTCTCTCACTAACTTTTTCACTCACCTTTCTAGTAACTCATCCATTCATATTTTTACTCACTAACTCCTTCGTTGGTTCACTAATTTATTAATTCACTCAATAAGTAATTTATTGACCCATTCCCTCACTCACAATATCACTCAACCATTCATTCATTCTGGTGGTCACTTCTTACTGCCTTATTCATTCATTCATCCAGTCAGGCAAGACAATCAAAGTCACTTAACCATTTGTTCATTCATTCATTGCCTTTCTCACCTGCTACCATAAATCATTCATTCACTCACTTACAAAATTATGTGGCCCTTACTCTGCCACTCACTCACTCACTGATCCACAGTCATGTTCATGTATTCACTCACTCATTCTGTCACTCGTTCACTCATTAAATTACACAATTTGAAATCGCTCAAACTAAACATGAAATGTAATTAATTACTGATGTTAAACATAGCAGAGACCTCATTCATTCATTCACACACACACACAGACTAACATGTGAGGGGATGTAGATGTCGTAGGGGTTTCCAGAGTCCACATCGATGACGTGGAAGCCGACACTGGAGCCGTAGATGACCTTTAACCTCTGTCCCTCCTCCACGGTCAGATCAACCAGCTGGGGGCGATGCTGCAGGTCAGTGAACGACTGATAAGAAAGAGAGAGAGAGGGATTAATTAAACAACATTACAGGTACAAACAACAAAGAAAAACTTATTAAAAATGGCTAAAAGCAACTCAAATACACTTCCAACAACAAACCTTTAATACAAGGAAAGTTACCACCAACAAAACTGTATAGAAGAAACTACAATTGTCGACTATTTTCTACAGATTTAAAAGGTGGAGACTGAAGCTACGGTTTGAATGAAGTGGTGGAAGTATTCATATTCTTTACTTAAAGGACCAGTGTGAAGGGGAAAGTAAAGGAGAAACTACGATTGCTAGCAAAAAATGTGAATGCCGTCTATTCTGGACTACTGTAGAAACATGGTGGACGGCTTATTCTAACGTAACTAAAACATAAAGATTCCTATATTCAGGTGATTATTCATCAATAAAAACATACCTATGAATATTATATTGCATTTCTGATAAGAGATCCTCCTAAATTTTACACACTGGACCTTTAAGTAACAATAACACAATTTAAAAACACTGTTGTAGGTAAAAGTCTGACACGTTTTACTAGTAAAGTAAATTTTTGAGTCCTAACTTTCCTGAAAGCCCTGAATAAAACAAGTGAAATCTGTTTCTAATTCCCATTTTTTGTAGAATCAATATCCTTTTTCCTGATTTGTATTTGAATTAAACAAAATTATGCCTGCAATTATTTATTTTCTTGCTGGTTAATTGGTTGGTAGATTTATTTACGTGTTTTTAAGTTAAGTCATGTCAGCCTTTGCTTTTTCTTTGCCAGGCAACTTTTGTGAAAAGACATTCAACATCTTCTGTCTCGTTATCTCACATGTTCTCAAAAACAAACACCTTTTATCCACCCTTTTATCACCAACTCTTAACACCTCAAACATCTGACACATCTTACCTTGAAGGCCATAAACTTGTGGTAAGGTTTAGGCGCCCAGGCGTAGATCTCCACCGAGTTCTTCAGAGCAATCACCAAGAATTTAATCCTCTCATACTTCACTGCAGGAGGAGAGCAGAGCGAATAAAAACAGATATGTAGCAACAAATTGTGTTTAACTGCAGTTAAAAAGCAAAGTTTTCCCAAATAATAAAACGTTTTTTGTCCCCAGATTGGAGCTGAGTCCCCATAATGTCAGCGTGTTAACAGGTTCATGTCCCCACAACACACATAAGCTTGTTTTCGTACCGACTTTATAGTGCACACAGCCCTCCAGCTCCCCAACAGTGATCCAACCCTGTTTCTTTTCCACTTCAGGATCGTTGTGTAATATCCTGTTCCTCAGCCAGGACAGGTAGTAAACTCGCAACTTGTTCTTCTTCCCTGGTTATGAAAGGAAACAAACAAAGGAAAACAGAGAATTCTTCTTAGCTGTAAATCTGTTTTCATGCACAGGTTTTTACATTTCAGGCATCGCTGACACTCGTCCAAAGTGACTTAATATTCAATAGCAAAGAGCTGTGTTTCATCACCGACATCCAAGACATTCAAATCAGTGAGTGCTTTATTTGTGAAGGCAGGAATACACAAACAGTCTGAAAGATCTGGCAAAAATAGAAACATCTCCGTCATGTTCAACGTCTTGTTTTGTTTTCTATTTGTACTTGAAACTAGTGGGCAGCACTTGAAAATTAAAAAGACAACTGTAACCAAGGGAAACAGGAAACACTGGCAACACAAACAATAAGAAAGGATAAAATAAGAAATCAACAAAGACAGCTAAGGAAAAAAGGAAAGATTGGAGCCTTCAACTGCTTTTCCAGCCGACTATAGATGACTCAAAGGCAGCCCATCATAGATGGGTGTAAACGGGTTAATAGTGTAAATATAGGGATAAAAATGTCCTTATTTTGCATTTAACAGAACCTCAAAACTCACTTGAACACAACCACAGATGCATTTAGATGTGGGGTTTTAAGAGGCATACCAACCTGAGATGGTGACCAGGACGTTGAGTCCCTCCAGGACGTCCATCTGTTGGAAGCGCCGTCGATTGATCAGATTGTAAACTTTCCCTTGACCGCTTCGATCCAGCAGCATCAGGCCGTTCTCCGTCCCCACAAGAAGATTAACTCCTGCACAAACACACAGACGTCTGGTTTTTCCTGCCTGTGTAACTACACGTGATTAATATCGTCGTTGTGAAGGTGCAGCGTCTCACCCCAGAGAGCAGCACAGAGGATCTCAGAGTTGAAGCGTTTCTTGTATTTGCGGATCTCGGGTGTGTCGCTGTGCGGTCGGATGTTGGTCGGGTTCACGTTGACCACAGAGATCTTCCTGGCCTCGTTGAGCCTCGCCTGCTCCTGCTCGTGCTTCAGCAGCTCGTCAGCAAACAGCGCTGCGGCATGGCACAGAAAAACAACATTATCTGGTGTTTTTACTCACTGAACCCAAACTTTGTTATGTGGAAACAAAAGGAAATCAAGGAGGTTCTTATAGTCTTATAGTGTTTATTTGAAGCTCTTTGGCGAGTAAATTAAAAAGAGAAAGAACAGAAATGTAGCTTAAAGAATGAATTATTAACCTTAACGTAAGATGTTTCTTCTCTTTCTATCTTTGTTACAATTAGTTGATTTAACTAAAATCTTTAAAATATTCAGTACAGAACTACTTAATCAAAGTCTGTAGTTTGAATTAGATTTTGTTTAAAAATGAACAAAAAGAATGTATGAAACAGAAAACTTTGTTAAAAAGGAACAGAAATACATTGTAATAAACAAATATGTCATCAACATTAAATACACAGTTCCAAACCTTGTTTTGTTGCTTGTGACACCTTAATATATGTTAATATGTCTTTCTTTTTTTTAACTTTATATTGTTATTTCTTTACATAAAATGGGCTTGATGATACTCATCTTTACATTTCTCATGACTCATTGTTACAGGTTGATATCTATGAGTTGCAGTTGCAAAAGGTTTTCACCCTCTCAGACCGGGTTTTGTAGAGAAATAAACATAATTATGTGCAGCAGAAAGTTGTTGTTTTTTCTTTTTGACCTGGTAAACGTCTCAAAGCCCCTTAGATTAATCTTTCTGGGGGTCCCAACAACCAGGTGCAACACTGTGATGCCACATTCGGAGAGGAATTGTACCTGAGGCCGAGATGTTATCGTCGTCGTCAGTCGGGGAGGTCCCATACACCCTCGGATCAACGAACGGTGTGAAGGAAGCCTTGGAGCCTCCGCTGCTTCCCATCCCGTACTGCAGATCACAGAAACACAGGATATAGTCAGTCACATGTTCGTCTGATGGTTCGTTAGTTGTTGGAGTGAAACAGGCAACTGATAAAATAAAGGAAGAGCAGTGAAGACTTCGTGGTCACGACGAGCCACAAAAACATATTTTAAAGCAACTTTCAGTTTGTTTATTTCTTCCACAATAATAAAATCTGATCAGATCAGGACACTTCCACCTTAAACTCTCAGTGTTTCCTTTATTTTGTCAGCTACCTGTATCATGTACTGAGGGGTGGAGGACACTTTCTGGAATCAGAGGCTGGAAAAATTGAGAGAGGGAGGGAGAAAGAGAGGGCTCAAAAAACGAGTGGATCAGGGAGGGAAGAAATCCAGTTTGTTCCATCTGTGGGGAAAACACTAGAGCCAAAGCGGGACGGATCTAAATAAAACAGGGCCGGAAATTAAAGGTGCCACGTGTTGTCATTTTTGATTCTCATGCTTGGAATCTCATTTCCTATAACCCTGTTGCTCTGTGATTCACAGAGGTGAAAAAAAATCATTATCATTTAGTAAACTAAGTCACATATTTTATGGATTTTTCATATTATATTTAAAAACTGTACAATGAACGCGAACTGTGAACTCAGTAACTGCAGGAAGTTTATGTAAAACAAGCGATTTGGATGAATTTTGAGCAGATTACTTCCTGTTTAGGGAACTTTTTATACAATTCTCTGTCTGTATTCTGTATTTTGTATCATTTTTAACAATCATACAACCTTAATGAGGCTCAAATTCACTGCTTTCTTCTGCCTGGTTGAAGATTTACTTTACTTTTCTTTCCAGAAGTGAACCAAATGCTGAGATATAGGCCTCATTTTCATTTAGTTTAAACTTTAAACTAAGCCTTAAAATAAAAAAATCCCCAGGTTGTGAACCACTAAACTAGGTGATAAGTTGATGGATAAAATGTATTTTCATATTTTATTAATTGTTTTACTCATTAATAAGTAGTTTTTTTGGGGCAGCCCACCACGTTAGATCTGCCACCACGTTACGCCATCCTTTAAAGTTCTGCATTGAAATGGAAATAGCAGACTCATTAAAATGTTTGCTGAAATGATGCAATCATGTGAACATATAATGGAAAAATTAGGTCTGTAATTGTGTGTGTGTGTAACTGTGTAAACGCTGCGCTATGCTGAACTGAACTCTCACAAAGTGTACACAAATTAATTCTCAGCATGAAGGAAATACTGATTAATCTGTAACTGTATTGTATTGTATTTATGTATTATCTGTGATAAATTTTATGTGTGCACTTTACGGGAGCTGCTCTCTAAATCTCATTGTTACTGCCGTACAATTGGGAAACAATAAAAAGGCTTTCAATTCAATTCAACTATTAGTCTCAGCGTGGAAGAAAATCTGATGGTTGCCTTAAAAGCAGTTCGACAGATTTTATATTAAATTACTGAACTTCAACCTAAAAGAAAACATAAAAGTATACAATTTTAGATTAAAGTAAACCAGCTTAAGTTTACTGGTGTTTGTCTGGTGGCTGCTGGTAATTTCCCACCCTGATAGAGGACCAAACAGCGAGTTGGTGACAGGTTTGTGGGCAGGTGGGGTGTGACGGGGTGAACAGGGTGAACAGGGTGAACAGGGTGCTGGTCTGTCAGGATCAGGTGTGGAGGGGGTTTCAAGCAGGGGGCCGATAGTTGGGGTGCTGCTCCACCTACTTGGGCCCCAGAGGCGTCGCCAGGGGAGACCAGGGGGGAGGTGCTTTGCTGCACCAAATCGGGGAGATTGGCGTTGCCAGGGAACAGATTAGCGTTGCCTGGGAAACCGTTGCTGGCAGTAGAGCTCCGCCTCCGTTCCCTATGTTTCTGGAAAAAGAGAGAGAGGGGCGGGCTACTGTGCAGCGAGGCTGTGATTGACAGGTCATGTGACGGAGGGAGGAAGCTGCTGCGTGCGGGTGTGCTTGTTTTCGGGGGCGGACGGGTACGGAACCCAAAGGCTTGCAACAGTAGAAAGTACTCATTCATACATTTTATCTTGCTCTTAGACCAACAGTGACTTTTTAGATTAAAGCTCATTTTCTTTTCTTTTCTTTTGCATATTTTTCCAGTTTGAGTGGAAAAGCTTCTGAAACAAAGATAGACCACCACAGGACACTAAAACCTACCAATAAAACCCTGTTAACAACAAGATACAGCATATATAATAACAACAGTTGAGCATCTATTGGCAGAAATGGAATTTAATTACATTAGTATGTTTTCATTAGTGTATAATCACCACATGTTTTTGTTACCTTAAAAAGAGCCATTTTTATCTACACAGGTTCACCTGGTAGCAGGTCCTCTTCCGTAGTTACTCCTTTAACCCTTTGGAGGGCTGAGCTGTATTCAAATGGCTGCAATCTGCAACTACACCACTAGTTACTACTTATTACTACACACTGATCCTTTAAAAGGAACTACGGAAACTACAGTGGCTGCAAAAAATCTACATTTCTCTTGTTGCTGGTTTATTTGCTGGTTTTCTTGATCTTTTTTATGACAGTAAATTAATTATCTTTAAGGTTTTCAATTGCTTGTCAGACAAAATAAGACTTTTCAATAAATATCAACTTGTGTTCTGGGAAACTGACAATCATTAACTACTATATTCTACAATAAATACATAATCAATGCAACTGAATTACTGTCTCATGAGCTGGAAAATAAAGACTCCTACATTTATTCTTATTACAGTTTTAAATAAATGAATAAATAGTCCGAATCCCAAATAATTAAACTGAGAACGGCTAAAACAACAACTGACGTCCAAACAGATGTTCAACCAACCAAAAATCCAGAAACTTTTTGGTCGAACTGTATTTAATCTAGACAAACGTGTAAAAAGTGAGATAGCACAAGAAAGAAAATAAAAAAATACTGTAACATATATATAATATTTTAGATCTTATAATCCAGCCTGAATTCTGAGTGTATTTTTTTTTAAATATCTGGGGAATATGTGTGCAAACGCTAACAAACGTCGATCCTCCACGCCCTGTGCGTGTGTGTGTGTTATTCACATTCACACACAAACAACAGGAAACAGCCAGGTCATGCAGAGCTGGTGAATGAGCGTCTGAATGTCAGTTTGTGCGGAGTCAGCGAGGCTCCGGTGCCCGGGTCAAAGGTCAGAACTGAGAGGCGGCTCACCTCGCGCATCATTAGTGTGCTGTCCTGGGAGCTGTTCCCATACGAGTCGTCGTGGGCGTCGTTGTGACCTCCTATCATGCCGAAGGACTCGTTGGTACCTTGACTTGCTGCTGGCCTGAAACAGAGAAGTCAACATTTTTTTTTATTTATTAAAAATAACTAAAAATATTCTTTTAAATCTGCTGTTTATCCCAGAAATCACTCCGAAGTTCCTTACTAAACTCAACTTTATTTATATATATGTCATACAAACATGCACATAAAAACAAAAATGAGCAACAATTATTAATAATTATTAAGGCTTTTTCAAAATTTTTCAAGGCTAAAACTGAGTATAATAAATAAAAAAAAAAGTCGATATACAAATAAACACTAGTAACACACCAAATAATGTAAAAACCAATGATTAAAACCTGAAAACTAAGGCTATAACATAAAAAGTACTGCGACTACCACTAATATCCAGAGGCAGTGAGTTCCACAGTTTAGGGGCATAAAAACAGAAATGCACTCTCACTGCTGCTTTTATGGGACACATAAGGAACATTTAAAGTAAAAATCGAGTAGTTTAGTGATCTGGAACATAAAAGAAAGTCTCTGATGTATGGAGGAACAAGGTCGTTTAAAGCTTTACAAACAAGTAAAAGAACTTTAAGATCAATTCTTAGAGACAGACTCAACTAGCTGTAGCTATTTTATGGATTTTCAAGGGTAATCCAGTAAAAAGAGAATTACAGTATTCTAAACAAAGTGTGAGTGAGTATTTCAGCATCTTCCTGACTTAAAAAAGGTCTGATTTTATTTCTAAGATGTAAAAAAAAGGCTGTTTTAATTACCGTGTTGAAAGAAGAATTACATTTTAAATCAGAATCTAAAATAACATTTATGACGTGGGTCCTATTAAGAGATTATCCCTAATATCACACTATTATCCCCGAGCCTTGTTACATAAAGAAAGGCTGCTTTTAATTTCATTTGGTAAACGAAATATAAACCTTAAAGCTTCATTTTAAAAATGCAGGTGAATCTTATTCATTAATGTAATGTTGTCAGAAGCGGTGCCATAAAGTAAAAAGTCGTCACTAAAAATACAGGAAATATACATTTCTGTACCAATAAAACAAAATAAAGGTATTAAATACTTTCTGGTAGTAAAAGGTACAAATCTTCCAGACGATGACTTCCTTGTTGTATCTTATTTTGGTAAATTGAGCTTTGAAAGGTGTTTTCTCAACTGTAAGTATTCAGTTAGAACCTGAACTGAAATAGTAATAATAATAATAAATAGGCAAACCTGCATTAATTTATTTATGTTTTAACTGCTGTTAGTTATTAGTTTGATTAATAGTTTAATAATGTGTGTATTGATTACTGAAACTAGCTGATCATCAGTATATGTTACTCAGTTTCTATGCTGTAAATGACTTCACCTTTGAGTGTTTTTAAACTACTTTACTAATTAAACCTAGTTAAGTGCTTAATGGTGTTATTAATGACTCCTGATGAAATGGAGATCTGGTAGTGAGTGACCTCTTGTTGCTGATCACTCATGTTGTGTGAAAACAACTTCAAGTCAACAAAACCAAATGATCAAGTGCCCAATAAAAGGACTTTTTACAATTACAGCAACGCAGTCGTAATTAACTCTCTGGCCACGACTAACACCACTCACATCAAACATAGTAATCTGATCCATTGCTGATATAAAAATATTGATTAAAGCAGCTTTAAGGTTCACACAGAATGCGACACAGCCATATAACACAATATACTATACTATAATATACTATATTTACATTAGATTATACAGGTTATATACAGGTTTACCTAATAAAAATACAGAAAGGGCACGTGCTGGTGTGTGGGAAGCCAGTGTGGGATCATGTCCTCGTCCCCTTTTGGTCGTGGGAGAAATAAATGTGTTTTATTGATCAGGAAACAATAACACTCACATGATGCGTGGTATATCGCTGACGGCCACGGATCCGTCATTGGCGCCGCCCTCGCCCTCCTCATCCTCGCTGCTGTGAGAGTCTTCGCTGGATGACGAGTAGTCCGTCACTTTGACAGGCGGGCGGCTGGTTTCCTCGCCCTGCCGCAGCTCTCGCAGCTCTTTGGCCAGAGCTGTCAGGTCCTGGAGGACAGCGGGACAACAAGGGGAGTCAGAGACTAATTATTTGATGTTTTTTTGTTTTTTTTACTTAATTTAAACTCAAACCCTCGGAGTCGGTTGGGAAGAGTGATCCCTACTGATTACAGATAACATCATGCAGTTGTCATTACATGTTTTAGAGTAAGGTTTCTGCATAGTAACTACCCAATATGTCTTATTTTATGTACATTAAACATGGTTGTTCTACATTAAAGGTGGCGTCAGTCATTCTGGAGAAAGATAGCTGATTGTTCTTTATCTTTCTCCAGAACGTCAGAGCTTTTTAAGCGCCTTTAAAAAAAGGTTATTGAGGGATTTGTCCACGTTTGTGAAGCTGTTTATAGCGTAAATATCTAATTCGGGCTCTGTGACAGCAGCACAGACGCTGCGGTCGAAGGATGTATCGCTACGGGAGCCCAACTCTTTAGCGGAGATAGACTGATTGACATTTCATTAAAGTTTAGATCAATATCGTGCAGCACACAAAGTGTTTAATTAGCTGAGTAAAGTGTTGATTATAAAAATGTAATTTACCGTTAAAAAGCAATTTACATTACATTACAATTACAGCTGATGCCATCTGACAGTTTATTGCATTAACACAGCAATGTATTAAGCTTTCAACGTGCAAGGTGTCAAAGCATTTTAGTGCTGTTGATTAAAATCTAAATGTCTGTTCCTGACTGGTCCTTTAAATCTACAAAAGTATAAATACACGATGACAAAAATAGAAGAAAATCAACTTTAAAAGGATGTAAACATCTGGAATAATCTAAAAGCTGACCTGGAAATAGAAATATTTAAAAAAAAATTATATACATTTTGTAGTAATTATAGTAGAGTTCATTCAGAGTAGTTTACAATTAGGAACGTAAGACAATAAAATACAATACAATACAAATATAAACAGACAAATAATAGACTATAAGTACATTTTCAGTGCAGATACAGCGTAATAAACTAAAGAAAATATTTTTAAGTTTAACATTAGAGCTCATAAGCAGTTTAGGGGAGTAATGGATTAGATGTAACTGAACTACATAATCAGGATACAAAAAAAGGTAACATTTAGTACAAATGGGGATTATTTAGCAGGATTACAATTTTAAAATGCATCAGTTTTACTTTAAAAATACACATTGTTCTGTTGTCTTACAGATACTCTTCAATACTTCTTATTGATATTTATTTGCACATTTGGTTGATTGAGGTAATCCAAAAGTAACAGAAAGTAATCAGGTTACGTTACTTTAATATTGTGATTACTGGATCTGGTTACTTACAACACTTTGTAACAGGTAATTTGTAAATTGTAATGAGATTACTTTTTACCAGTAAACCCTCCCAACCCTGCTTATAAGGTCCTCAGGTTTCCATCTGTGCAGCTTGAAGCTCATCTGAAATGTATTTAGGCTCCAATCTGTTATAAACTAACAGCAAAACTTCTTATATATTCATATTTATAACCAACTGGAAGCCAGTGTGAAGGTTCACGAGCCGGAGTAATGCACTCTGATGTCTTGTTTTCCATGTACACCCTGAAATCATATTATTATGCAGCTTTAAAAAAGGGAAAATTAATGGTGTTTTTTTTACTATTTGTGGCACAATGCAAGTTGTTAGTAAGATTCTGTTTCCAGTTCAGCCACATTACTGAGCGTCCACTGTGGGGAAGGCAGCGAGCAGCAGGACAGTGCGGGGAGAAGAGGAGGGTCAGAGTACAGATGCCATCATGCGTCAGTGCAGGAGGGCCAAGGGTTAAAAGCTCAGGGCCGGGGGGGGGGGGGGGTGGGGGGGGGGCGTTAAGATTCAAATGCCTCTGCGAGGCTCTCACAGCTCACAGCAAAAAGAGCTGTTGCATGTGAGAGGGTTAAGTGCCCAGGGGAAGTGGACCGAGGTAGGGAGGGGAGCTGTGGTTGGCTGGGAGGAATGGGGGGACGAAAAGGCTTTTCTTACCAACTCCTCCTGATGAGAGAGAGAGAAGAGTGATAATAATGGGGAGAAGTGTTGACCATCTTTATTGGAGGAGAACTTGACCTGAGTTTACCGACCAGAGCGGCATACCTGTGAGGTGTGTGGGAATGGGGAGG